CTTATACTCACAATAACCCCATAAAATTTTATTATTATTCCCTTTTCAATTGAGAAAAGTAGAGCTCAGATAGTCAATGTGCCTCTCCCAGAGTCACACAGTGAGGGTAAGGAAGAACAGGGACTTGACTCAGGTCTCCTGACTTGACAGGCTTTTTTCCACCAGAAAAAATCATCACAATCATCATTATCATTTCTGAGAAGAGGAAGTGGCAGTATACAGTGTGGGTGATTCTGCCTTCTTGAAAATCTTCAAGCCAAGCAATTGCATCTTATTCTAGTTCCTGTGCTGGGAACTCATATTTCAATGACTGGCTTCCTTCCATCTGATAAGTCCCCCCAAGAATCTCTGCTTCCCAGCTTCTTGTTCTTCTGCTACTGGGGCTACATTTTACAGGAGCACGCCTGGCAGACTGGACAAGGCAGCAGCCCCTGGCTGCACTTCCCCTCTCCTCTCTCCTTCCCAGGCTCCCAAAATGGAACACAACCATCCTTTAATATCTCTTTACTCTTCTGCCAACCTGCCAACGCTCCCCCTAAGGCCTCCTTACTTTAAGTAAATGCTTTTGTATTGCTCTGGGAATAGTCTAATCTTTTCTCCCTTTCATGTGGTAATGCTCTGAATTACAGCAGCAGCGTTAGATAGAAATATATATACATATGCAAAGAAGTGCCTTGTGGTTTACATTTTGAGGGGTGGTAATTAGTGGGGCATGTGGAGGACTTCTGGGGTGCTGAATCTGTGTGCTGCTCACTTGGAAGATGATCATTAAGCTGTGTGCATATGATTTGTGTGGTCTTCTCTATGTGAAGACTTCACATAGATTTCAATGAAAAAAATCTCAACAATATAGCAGGCAGTTTTGTAGTGGTGAAGAACTAGGCAGAAGGCTAATGAGTTTCTAGCAAGCATGCTGAAGAGGTAATCCCGGGACTTATGGCCAAGATGGAGGCGTAGGTAGACACAATGTGCCTCCTTGCACAACCAAAATAAGGACAACAATTTAGAAACAAAAACCAACCAGTACTGACAAAAAATTGAACTGTATGGAAGTCTGACAACCAAGGAGTTAAAGTAGACACATTCATCTAGACAGGTAGGAGGAGCAGAGTTGGGCAGCAGGGCAGAGAGGGCTCCCAGCAAAGTGGTGGCTGGTGGACCCCAGGCACACAAGGCGGCAGCAGGCAGACCCAGTGAGGTGGCAGATTGTAGAGGGGCACAGTACACAAGGCGGCTGGCAGACTGGGCGGTCCCACATTTGTGCGCAGGGGAAAATGGGGAGAGAGACAGACCGAGCAACCCAGGGTCCCAGTGCGGGGAAATAAAGCCTCAAAACACGGATTGAAAACCCCTGTAGTGGTTGAGGTGCCAGGAGAAACTCCCAGCCTCACAAGATAGTTCGTTGGACAGATCCACAGGGGCATAGAATGTACACAAACCCACCCACCGGGGAATCAGCACCACAAGGGCCCATTTTGCTTGTGGGAAGTGATAGAAGTAACTGAAATCTGGCAGAGTGGAGCAAGCAACATTGTTCCCTCTTAGACCCCTGCCTCACATAACAGTGTCACAACCCAGTGACTGGCTTGCCCTGCCCTGGTGAACACCTAAGGCTCTGCCTCTCGCTATTTAACAGGTGTGTCAAGACAAAAAAAAATGGCCCAAATGAAAGAACAGATTAAAGGTACAGAAAAAATGCAACTAAGCGACAAAGAAATAGCCAACCTATCAGATGCACAGTTCAAAGCACTGGTAATCAGGATGCTCACAGAATTGGTTGATTTTGGTCGCAAGTTAGATGAAAAAATGAAGGCTACACTAAGTGAAATAAAGGAAAATGTACAGGCAACCAATAGTGATGGGAAGGAAACTGGGACTCAAATCAATGGAGTGGACCAGAAGGAAGAAAGAAACATCCAATCAGGAAAGAGTGAAGAAACAAGAATTCAAAAACTGAGGAGAGGCTTAGGGACCTCCAGGACATCTTGAAACGTCCCAACATCTGAATTATAGGGGTACCAGAAGGAGAAGAGGAAAAGCAACAGATTGAACATGTATTTGAACAAATAATAAAGGAGAACTTTCCTAAACTGGCAAAGGAAATAGACTTCCAGGAAGTCCAGGAAGCTCAGAGTCCCAAAGAAGTTTTACCCAAGGAGGAATACACCAAGGCACATCATAATTACATTAGCCAAGATTAAAATGAAGGAGAGAATCCTAGAAGCAACAAGAGATAGGGAGACAGTTACCTACAAAGGAGTTCCCATCAGACTGTCAGCTGATTTCTCAAAAGAGACCTTACAGGCAAGAAGGGGCTGGAAAGAAGAATTCCAAGTCATGAAAGGCAAGGACCTACATCCAAGATTGCTCTATCCTGCAAAGCTTTCATTTAGAATGGAAGGGTATATAAAGTACTTCTTAGATAAGGTCAAGTTAAAGGAGTTCATCATCACTAAGCCCTTATAATATGAAATGTTAAAGGGACTTAACTAGGAAAAAGAAGATAAAAAACATGTATAATGAAATGACAGCAAACTCACAATTATTAACAACCACACCTAAAACAAAAACAAACTAAGCAAACAACTAGAACAGGAACAGAACCACAGAAATGGAGATCATATATAGGGTTAGCAACAGGGGAGTGGGAGGAGGAGAGAGGGGGAAAAGTTAAAGAGAATAAGTAGCATAAATGATAAGAAGAAAATAGGGGAGAAGTAAAAATAGTATGGGAAATGTAGAATCTAAAGAACTTATAAATATGACACATGGACACGAACTAAAGGGGGAACATGGGTGGGAGGGGGTGTGCAGGGTGGAGGGGAATGAAGGGGGGGAATGAGACAACTGTAGTAGCATAATCAATAAAATATATTTTTTAAAAAGGTAATCCCTATGCCAACAAAGAGGCTCCCTTGACTCTTCAAGGGGCTTTCAACTCTGACAGCAAAGGCCTGTGGAATGCTTCACCGTTAACAATTCCACAGCAGCCCCAAGAAGGGGCTGTTCATAGAAACCTACAGTTGGAACAAGGATCACAGAATCTTGGTGGGTCTTTTCTGGCAGCCATCTCCTTAACCTCAGAGAGCATTTCAGGAGACCTGGTCCCTGCATCCAAAGAGGGACATTAAAAAGTCTCCTAGGTTATCCTATCACCTACATTGACTAAGAAAATCTTAACTTTTAGGTAATCTTTTTCTTGTTAAGATTTGAGAGTCAAATCTGTGAGGATGGATTCTCCTCACTAACGTACTTATATCTTCCTTAAATCTTCTAAATAGGTTGTTTCATGGATAGATTCAGTAATAATAATTAATTGTCAGGACCATTCCTAGAGCAGTTTGAAGTGACTCACTGTTTTCTAGACATGCCATGTACTTTCAGATCACCTCATCCCAGCATGTTTTTCCCTTCTTTGTTTATCTAGAAAAGCCCTACCCATGTTTCAGAGTGTGGTTTAAAGTCCTCATCATCTTCTTTTTCTTCTCCTTCTCCACCTTCTCCTCCTCCTTTTCTTCCTCCTCTCCCTTCTGGAAAGCATTCCTTTCCTGCTCCAGGTTGAGCAAGTGGCCCCTTCTTTAGGGTGTAGGGCATTTTGTATACACCTCTATTAGTATTTACCACTTTGCACAATAGGTACTTTGAGTTTTTCCAAGGCAAACTTAGTTTCTTATTCCCATTTTAGTCCCTAATACCTGACCTGTTACATCAAAAGTATGTCTGGATAAAGCAGCCACTTAAGATATTTCAATTATCTCATGCATTTATAAAATAAAATAAACTTCTCTGACTGATTGCTTATAATGGTTCTATTTGTAATAGCCAGAAACAGGAAACAACTGAAATGTCTCTCAATAGATGGATAGTTAAGCAAACTGTGGTACCTCCACACCAAAAAGCACAACTCAGCATTAATAAGGAACAACTATTGATTCATGTGACAATTGGATGATCTCAAGGGCCTTAAGTCAGGAGTGAAAAAAGTTAATTCCAAGAGGTTAACTGTATGATTGCCTTAATACAACACCCTTGAAGTTAAAAATTATAGAACTAGAGAACAGATTAGTAGTTGCTGGAAGTTAGGAATGGTGGGAATTAAGGTGGTAGGTTAGAATACAAAATAGCAGTGCAAGGGAGATCTTTGTGGCAATGAAATGGTTTTGTGTTTGGAATGCAGTGGGAGTAAGAGAAATATACACATTTTGAGAGATGTGCTATTTTGATATCCTGGTTTTGATATTATTTTAATTATGTAAGATGTAACCACGGGGGGAAACTGGGTGAAGGGTACATGGTACCTTTCTATTTTCTTTGTGACTTCCTGTGGATCTTTTACTTTATTTCAAAATACAAAGTTATAAAATGCTTCTAAAAACTTGTTCTCTAATGTCCTTTCTACTCTCTAAATGAGTGTATCTATAACAACCTTTCACATTTCCTACTGATTTACAATGTCAGAATGTGTCCACATAAATTAAATTACATCATTTCAAAATTGCAGCACCTGCATGATGCAGCTATTCTTACTCTATTTTAGAGACTGGGAAACCAAGGTTCAGTACTTGATAGGTGAAGTGGCAAAGCTAGTGTCCAATTTGACACAATAGCATTTCTACAGGCCTCTTTTCTCATCTGCAAAATAAGGGGATTTGGCAGACACTGTCTCTGAGGTGTACCCCACTCTAACAGCACAGGGCCTGCTCACTGTTTGTGCCCCAGCTGCCCTGCTTCTGAGTCGGCACGAGGATCTAACAGAGCAGAGGCTGTGTGCCAGGAGCTGCCCCGACAGAGGAAACAGTGCTGGAGGGCTGGCATCATTTGAATGGAGGATTAGACTCCACAAATTCTCTTTCTCCCAAGGCTAAGAATTGTTGGGAAGAGAAGCCCAGTGGCTCATTATTTTTGCTATCCCCATCTTCTTGGCTCCTTTCTGTCACACCCCATTGACCCTAATTAAGGACATTCTCCATGCCAAGGAAGTGAGTTGTGCAACGTCTTACCAGGTTAGTGAAGATGTACGTGTAATAGGCTGACACCATCCCTAGCTCAGCTGCCTGCAAAGGGAAAAGAAGGAGATTAGAGAGGAAAGCAAATACCTGCAGAAAGTGAGTGAGCTGTGAGGACTCACCACAGCTTAGCTCACTACCCCTTGGCTTCAGGCTGAATAGAACATCTTCTTATTTGGTTATTCGGTTTGTTCTTATTTGGTCCTTGACTTTGGAGGATGGAGCACAAAGACACAGTCTCTAGAACAGGGTCTATCTACCCCCACCTTGCTCCCTGCCTTGGCAGTGACATGCACAGTTGGTATTCTCACGCACAAAACATTCCCATGGATATAAGCAGGTATCATGGAAACCTAAATGATTTTAAGGGAAACAAAGCAAATAACAAACCACACTACAACAATTATCTCCATAACCATTAACAATACCATGGCTAACACCTACTGTTTGGTATGTGGAGAGTCCTAAAAAGCATTTTACTTGAATTAACTTGACAAGGTGGGTACTACCTCTACCCCCATTTGACAGCCGAAGAAACTGAAACACCAGAAGGCTCTATAGCTTTTCCCAGATCACATGTCTCATAATGGAAAAGATGACATTGAAGCCAGACAGCCTATACCTCCCAGGAGGACTGCAATATTAATGGAAATACTGACACAAGTCTCTTAGGAGCCAAGTTATAGAGAGTCTGAGTTGCAGGCAATTCTCAAATTAACTCCACCCATCAGAAGGTGTGTAAGCAAGAAGTATAATCTACAGTTGTGTAGGAAATAAGTGAATCCTTTGCAAAATTTGGTTCTTTATTACTAGTAAGGAACAAGTTGGATGTGACATGCTTCACCCTTGGTTGCAGCACACCAGTGTGTCATCATCCCATAGTTGAGAGCTGCTGCTTCAAAACACACTCCCTTTAGTCCTACCTTTGCCGCCATCATAAACACTCCTAACCAACTTCCCTATCAGTGTGCTTGCTGGGCTTTGAATGTGACATGTGCTATAGAAACCAGCAAGCAGATGAGGTAAATAATAAGCCCAGTTCTCCCTGGGGCCCTCATCCCTCTGGACAGACAGGTAGGTTTTCATAATGCATCCTGTAGCCCTGGTTCACTGCAAAACCACTTTGTCCTGACCAGTGAGCTGCAAGGGGAGAAACAAGACTGGAGATGCTTACAGTTTCCTATTTCTCTCCCAAGGAGCTCTGATAACTTTGTGAGCATTTTAACAGGAACCCTCTCAGTCTCCTTCAAGAACAGCCTGAGGTAATTATATCACCACATTCTAATGGGAAACTGAAGTGTAGAGGGCCTTAGGGACTGTGGCAAGATTATGTGAGGGTCACAGTGGAGCTTGATGCCTCTGTGTGAGGCTCCTTCTTCCTCCAACAAAGCTGCATTTCCTCCTCCTCTCCTGAGAGGATGATATGGCATGAAGCCCAGCTGTCCCATCTCCCCACACTCACACTGTCCTTATAAAGTGCCATTCCTGTCACCACTGCCTAGGCTAATGGGCACCCCCCTGGTTACAGGGAAGGGCCAGATGCAGGACGCTAGGAGAGGACATGAGACAGCTAATGCTTATTTTGTGAAATCTGCTGTACTAAAGATAAAAGACAAGAGATTCTCGGTTTTTTAAGACTTGAATTCTGGGTAAATATAAAGGTCATTGCCAGGAAAGCCACTCAATAAAAGTAGGGGTTTGCTCTGAAAATCCTGCTGAAATCAAGAGACAGCAGAGTGCAGCCAAGTTCTGGGCCAAGTTCACAGGGGCCCGCTGAGCTTCTGGAAGCCCCACGTACTCTCTGCTCACCCTGCTTCCCACACTGAGTCCTGCCTCCCTGAGGTCCCTCAGTCTGGGCTATAGTCCCCTCAAAGGTGCAGCGGAGAGTCCCAGGGAAGCAAGAGCACTGAGTCCAGGCCTGATGCAGGGCCCACCTGCCTGGGGCCACTAGGAAATCAAATGGGAACAAAAGAGAGTTTCTTGATGCCTTTCTGGTCATTATTTATCAGTTTGGTTCCAAGGTCACAACAGCTGAGGTCCATAAGTAGTGTCAGGAAAATCTGCCCCTGGCCATCCACCAGAACCGTTTACTAATAGCAGTCATTATAGGCCCAATTTCCTTCAAAAGCACAACCATTAGAAAATTAAAAAGTATTTTTAATGAAAATACCTGGTATTGGCAAGGGTGCTATAGGACACCCATACAATGCTGGTAGGAGTGTAAATTGTTATGCACTTTTGAAAAGGCAATCTGGCAGGTCATATCAAAATCCTTCAAACGTGTACAACTTTCACTGAGTAATTCTACTTCTAGTAATTTATGCTAGAAAAATACTCATGAATGTGCATCAAAGATGTGCATCCCATCATCATTTGTTAAAGTAAAGATTAAAAATAACCTGTCACTCCAATAATAAGGAATAGCTAAATAAATTATGGTACATCATGACAGGAAATGATGCATCCATTAAAATATTCATAGAAAAATATGTAATGACATGGGGAAAATACATAGCATATAATTAAGCAAAAAAAATGTTACAGGAGAATAAGTGCAGGGTGATAATTTAGGGGAAAATGTGTCTATAAATGCATAAAAGATAGACATCAAAATTTAATAGTGGTAATCTCTGGGTAATGGAATTGTGAATAATTTTTATTTTATTTTATGTGCTTTTCTGAATTGTCCAAAATTTCAACAACAACTAGACATATTATTTGAGAGAGAGAGAGAGAGAGTGAGAGAGAGAGAGAGAGAGAGAGAGGGAGAGAGGAAGCCCAGTTGCTTATGCTGGAAGCCACAAGAGAGTCCTGGGCAAGGACTGCCCCTAAAAGGCTCTCAGATGGGGACTGTTCAAACAGGCTCTCCTGCTGCAGGGGAAGTGTGCATTCTGACCTGCCTTTTGCAAAGGGGCTGGTGGGACGTCTATCTCACTCCCTACTCTCCACCTTTCCTGAGGACTCCTCAGAATGTATTTCTTGTGTCTTAAAACTAAGAGGACTTTCCATTCTGATGACTTTGTTGATCCTAGCCCAGACATAAGAGAAGAGAAAGGAGAATAGAAGAGAAAAATTATCTGTGTGGGTATGCATGTGTATGTGTGAATTGGATATATGCATATGAACATGGGTTTGGAGTTGTGAAAAATTACTATAGCAATGGGCTGAAGGGATAGCCCTCAGTACGCAGAGAACTCATTCAACTCTCTTACTAACTCAGATATAAACTAGCTGGGGAGGGGAGGTTAGGAAGGAGGGAGGAAGGGAGAGGAAGAGACAATCTTCTGAGTGTCTGCTGGGCCCCTCATAGCTTGGCAGAGGATAAGGAAGAGCCTTACTCTCCCAGGGACAGATGGCAGGTTGCTTTTAAATGTGCAATTAAAATGGCATTAGAAGAGGCCAATGTACCTGAAGAGGCTTGGGAAGCTGCTGCAAGTCATGGAGGAGCTTGGAAGCACGGTCCACTCTATTTGGGGTTGCATGCTTAGCCCAGCCACCAGCCCAGGAGCTGGTGCCAGGTGATTGCAAGGCTGCCCAGATGCCCAGGTGCCTGACTTCTTTCTCTGTGTATGTTCTTGTCTTTCTTGACCCAACCTCCTAGAGATCCAGTTCCCATGTGTATAATAGAGATCCAGTTTCCATGTGTGTATGTTCTGATTCAGGGACCCCTCTCTGGGTTCTGGAGGGGTGAGCACAAAAAACTGCCTGATAGGCTGTCAGAGACAACTGTGTAGACTTAGCTCTTCTCCTCCCAGGCCTTGAAAAATGCTGTTCATCTTCCAGAGCCTCAGTGCCTTCATCTGCCAAGTGAATATGTTATACCTACCTCACATGGTCACTGAGGGTTACATTGGGAAATTACACAGTAGTGCTTTGTGAATGGTGGCATACATGTAAGGATTATATGCAGGGCCAATATTCAGCAGCACACACACACGTGACTGCCCTTGGTTGTCCAAATATGGAAATACTTCTATATCTCTTGACAAACAGCCTCTATCTCCCAAATGCCCTACCCCCACCACCCTAGACCCTCCTAGACTTCATCTTAGAGCCCCTGGCAGGGTCTAGGTTTGGCCAGTGTCTCTGTTGGTGGCTATTCTACCACATAGCAGTTGAGTATTTTTATGATATCTCCATCATCCTACTTTCTCCCTTCAGCCTTTGGGAGCTGTTCATTGAAACTAAAGCACACAAAGGTTTGCAGGGCTTAGAGGTCTAGCCCAGGTCTCCTTGCACCTCAGTCCAGGAGGACACCCACAGCAAGAAGGGGGAAGAGTGCCAGTGCAGTGGGAGGGAGGGGGAGAAGGATGCTCATGCCCACCAGCCTACGCCCAGCCCGGCTCCCACCTTGAGGAGGATGGTGTGAGACAGGGAGGCATTGGCGTGGATGATGATGGTGGCTGTCTTGTCATCTCGGATCTCTTTGAGGAGTGGGGTGGGGTCCCTGGTGTCATCCAGCATCCGCACTGACAGTGTGTCCTTGGAGATGAGGAATTGCCGGAGCAGCCTCTCGAGGTTTAAAAGGCCTGGAGGGGAGAGAGGAGGAAGGCAGCCTGAGGAGCCACCAGAGGAAGCTCATGGGCCTGGCCACACTCCTACTGATTAGCAGGTGCATCTTTACTGAGCACGTTTCTTAACCTGTTTGGGCTTCAGATATCCCATCTTCAATAAAAAGAGTGCTCCTAACCTTCCACTGCTTCCCCCAACTCTCTTGGGGATGATCCTTGAAGGGAGAGAATGCAGTCTTGGGAGGCAGGCTGGGGGTTCCCACTTTCTCACAGCCACAGGAGCAGCACTCCAGTGGGCAGACCTGGGCTGAGACCACCAGGCCGTGAGTTCTTTCCCTAACTTAGCCATTCACCCACAGTGTGACCTTTCTGTGTGGCCTGGTCTCCTGGCCTCAGCTTGTTCATCTGAGAAATGAGAATAACAACAGCGGCCTGCTCACGGGGCTGTGGTGAGGAGTAGATGAGGTAACATATAAAACCCTCAGGCCTGAGCCTTGCACAGTGTATATGCTCATGAACGCTCCATGCAGCTGTACCACAGCCTTCTTTTCCCATGGAAGTGGGGTAGGGAGTGGTGACCTTAAGATCACAGGGTCCAGAAATCAGGTCTAGCAAAAACACTTTGAACTCCTTTCTCAGAGCATAGAAGCTGCACTGGACAAAGTATTACTGCAATTTTAAAAGAACAGGCTCTGAACCACACTCCAACATGCAGTCCTGTGGGCCAAGAACAAAACAGAAAAACTGGGACTGAGCTGAGGACTCTCTCTGCCTCCCCTTGCTATTTGCTGCCTAGAAACAGTGGTGCTAGGAGGGGTTCCAGAATGATCTCCTTGAGAAAAAAGTGTCTTAATTCTGCTTTGTCTCTAAAAAGGCAGGGCAGCAGGAGGGTGTGTGTGGTGGGGAGTCTCCTGGGAATATAGTGGTCTCAAGTACAGTGGACACAGCCCCACAGACATTTGTTCTTAAAGCAAGTTCAATAGTAACATTTATTAAATCCTTATTATTGTTCTAGGTGATGGGCTAAACGTTTCACATGGCTCATCTCATCAAAGCACTCACAGTGCTGTGATCAGGCACTGTGATCCCACAGCACAGAGAACACGAGGCGTGATGAGTAACTCCCTTACACTGGGCTCCATACATTGACTGGAGGGGACGGCTGGCTTTCTAACTGGGCCAAGGCCCCTACACCCCAGTTCTTGTACTGGGTACAGCGACATTAAATGTAGGAATGTCTTAAAGATGGCCCAGAGACTCCTCTCTGCTCAGGTAACCAACCCTCTTGACCCTTGAGGATCAAAAGGTAAGTGAAAGGGGCTGTGAAGAGGATCACATTGCTTTTTTCTTTCTGTTAGAGAAGTGGCAGGCCTTGCCTGGTTACACAGGGTCACAGGAGGGACTGGACACATTTTCTCGTCTCTGTCTAGCCCTCTTCCCATGAGACCAGGTTGCCTCTTATGACCAAACATAGAGGAGGCAGCAGGCATAGAACAGAGGGAGGCCCCAGGACATTTTCTTTGCACCTAGGCAGGAAAGCATACACTGCTGCGTTTGTGTGTGTTCTCCGGTGTGTTCTCTCTCTCTCTCTCTCTCTCTCTCTCTCACAGAAAAGGTAGCAGGTTAGAGCCCAAGAGCGTGGCCTGCCAGAGACAGGAGCTCTGGGAAGGTGGTACCAGCCCTCTATCTTTCAGTCACAGGGCCTAAGAAGCATTTCAAGGAGTTGGAGGCTGCGGAGAAGGGGGTTGGGGCAAGCCTTGAGAGGGCCTGTTATTCACCAAGTGGCTTCAGAAACAACCCAGCTGTGCAAGCCACAGAATGGGATTGGCCTTTTCTTCCTTCCCCAACAGGGCCTGACCCAGACTTGCAAGGGTCTGCTGCTGTCTGGGCCCCTCCCACCCCTCTCCATCTACCTCCATGAAGAACGGCCATGGTGTTGCCAGTGCACTTCCTGCCAATCCCTGATGCAGAGGATGTGGAGTCAAGCTCAGGGTCAGCCCTCACTGGCTGTGGACCTTGTCAAGCCATCTAACCTCTTCATGACTCCATCTTCATCTGTCAAATGGATATAGCAGGCCAGGCCTCTATAACAGCCAGCATGAAAGCACTCTGAAGCACGGGAACATATACATAGTATCAGTGTAACTCTCTTTTTCACTCAGCCCCACAAGAGGGCCAGGCACTGGGCCAACAAGATGCCAGCAGAGAAGATGGATCAGACGCAGACTCTGCCCTTCAGGAGCACAGAGTCCAGGGACTTGTAGCTAAGGCTGTAGAAAAGTTCAACTCATGTCCATATTTTCTTTGATGGCCTAATAATCTGGTTTTCTAGGGGCAGACCCATTTTGTCCTATATGTAAAATGGAGAGAATATTCACCACATCTCCCTCACTATTGATGTGAAAAGCACAAAAATCGCTACAACCAGGAGCCATTCTTCCCGAGGAGGCCAAGAGGGTGAATAGCCATCTCCCTGGCTTGAGGAAAGCTTAGCTTGGGCATGCTATGGGGAGGGAGCATGCAGCTGGAGAGGAGGAAAGTATGGCAGTGGTAGAATGCATGAGTCTTGGAATGTGGCAGGGAGAATCTTTGGAGCGTGGCTGAAAAGAGGTCAAATCCCCTGGGATGGTTCGGTGTGGGCAATGAACTTTTCAGCAGGATGAGACGGGAGATCCTAGGGGATGACAGCAGGTTTATGCACAGCACAGAGACACCTGTCCAAGGCAGCCCAAGGATGCACCACTGCTTTACAATTGGCTGGTGTTCTGAGTTCCCAGGGAAGAGTCTCCCAGATGCCACATAAACTGAGGACTCTACTGCTGCCTACCCCAAGCATGCCCATCTTACTGCCCCTTGGGGTACTTGCTACATTTTAAACAAAGAAGCTGTATCATTACCCCATCCCATCTGGCTGAGACACAGGGCAGGGGCAGGTTAGGGGAGAAGGGCAGTGAGTCTGGGGAGGTCTGCACCCTCACCCACAATCTCCCACTGGTTATTCCTTTCCCCAGCTTGCACCCCACCTGGGCAGCAAAAGGAGCACAAGGTCTGGTGGTGAATTCCAGCTCTAGTGCTGCCAGGTAGTTAGTGTGGGCAATTTCCTCTACTCTCCACATTTCAGTGCTCTTATCTGAAAGTAAAGATAATTACTCGGCTTACAGGGTGAGTAAAAAGATGTCAATCAAATAACCGGAACAGTGTCTGTCACCTAGAAGGCATTTCACGAATCTAGTTTCCATTCATCTCCTTCCCTCATTTTCATATCCTAACCATCTTTCACACCATCTCCCAACTCTTAGAAAATTTATTATCTAATTCAAAAAATATAGCCCTTGGTTATGTCAACCAATGGTCATTGGTGCCAGTTTACCACCAACAAAAATTCCCAATTTCAGGTGTTGTGAAGAAGGAAACTTTATTCAGTACAAACAGCTCAATGGTAAAATAGCACTGCTGTGCAACAGTCCAATAGTATGGCAAGAGGCTTCCCTGGCCCCAGCACCCTCTTCAACTAGGCAGCTCTGCTCCTCAATAGTCTGGTCTGTTCTGCCTTGCCCTATGCCCATCCACTCAGCTTCAACCTGGAAATCACTGTCTCCACTCAGTGGAAAGTGCATTCTCAAAGCCACAGGGGAGCTGGCTTATAAGAACAGAAGTCCCCACCCCTGGTCCCTGATTGGTCTGTCCTCATGCAAATGAAGATGCCAAATCCTCACAGTTTGATTGATCCAAAGGCACTGTCAGAATAGAGCTGCTCTGATTGGTCAGAGCTGAGAAGCTCTGATTGGATGGGGAAAGCCTCAGTCCTATTGGTTGAAATAGGGTTCCAGGAGTTCATTTATAAGGGCTGGCAACAACACTGCACAGGGCAGCATTTTAGCAGGCAGATGTTGGCAGTCTAGGGCAGAGGCTTCTCCATGAAGTACAGTTTGCACGAAAGAACTCTGTGCAGAAATAGCTGCTGGGCTCTGCTTTTTCTTTTTCTTTTTCTTTTTTGAGCCCAGTTAGTTACCAAGACCTCTTAGGTATCATTTTTTCCTTTCAAGGTTCACAGTTATAATCATGTAAAATATTTTGTAGGATACACATATGTATATATGTGTACATATTAATATACTCATATATACCAATTATTTCATCATGTTGGGTTGGAGTCCCATTCAAACTTCTCTGCACATCCCCAGCATGAGGCAGGGTGCAGGGTGCCTGCTGATGCACTGACCTACAGACTGTAGGGCAAAGAAAGTGACCCTAGCAGGCCAGAGGAGCAGCAGTGCTGGAGGGAACAAACACTGTGTCACTTGAGGGTCAGCTGAAGGGATGATGTGCTTGGCTTGAGGAAGGGTGAGAAGGGCTGTCATGGGACACACTTGTTCTTGACAGCCTTAGGAACTTCTCCAAGAATGATGAGTGGATGGAAGTCACAGGAAAACAGAAGTCTATCTACTCAAGATGTTTAAGGATACAGTGGGCTGCATAATGAGGTGATGGGTTCCCAGTCTCTGCAGGTAACCAGAGAAAGGCTGAAGCCCCTCTTGAGGGCTGTTGTACAAGGAATTAAACCAGTGGATGAAAAGTTGAACTAGAAAAAATGGTGACATATTTCTAGCCTACAAATTCTCCAATTCTATAAATCAGAGAGGGATACTTTCTTTTTTTATTCTAGGCATTAGAAGGAATTTTCAGAAAAGAAAGTGTGATTTAGTTACATTAAAAATATTAGGAGTATTTTCAGTGCAGTTTGACATTTTCCAATGGTCATTCTCCTCATTTCTGTTTAATGAAACTAAGAGATTTACCAAAGGTAGCTGCTACTACAGGGGTTAAAAGCTACTCTCCTTGGCTTCCCTTTCACCTCCACCCCAACCCTCCTCTCCAACAGGACCCCTGGCCCAGCAGCAGGTCTGCTTGCCAAGTCCAAGGCTGCGAAGGACCTGAGGAACCTATAATATTTCTAAGGATGCAACAGGATGAATCAAAGAGAGACTCAGCAGGCCAGCCATTGTGGAAAGAAGGAG